TGAAACTAGTTAATTTATTTCTGCAAATAGGCTACAAGGCAGCACTTTTACACATTCATTTTATCAAGCGAACGATGAGGCCGACATTTCCTAACTGACTACTCTGAGAAGGAAAAAATGTGTATTTCAAACAGTAAGCGGTGTGATTTTGTTATTAATACTGAGTACCTATCTGAAAGCTGGAAGATTACAATAAATTATTATTAATTAGATAAACGTAAAGATAACAAAAAATTACAAGAAATCTTTCCGATCTTCTGAAAATTCTGTTATCGAACAACGCTTGTTTCTGTTGAATGAGTTATCAATTGCTGTAGATACAGTCCAGTATCGACATGTTTTACAATTTTTGTTTCAATCTGTGTACAGACCTGCATACTAAATGCTATTTAATTAACTTAATTGGTTAAGAATGCTGATACGAAACTGTGGAATGATTTGTCGTCGGCGGTATTTCCGAACCGATACGTCCTTATAACCTTCAAGAAAAGAGCGAATTCCTTTTTAAAAGGCCGGAAACGCACCTGTGGCTGTGACTCCTCTGGTGTTGCAGGTGTCCTTGGGTGGCGCTGATAGCTTACCATCAGGCGATCCGTCTGCTCGTTTGCCTCCTATTCCATAAAATAAAATACATTTTCTAATTTTGTAAATGTAAAAGTTTATATAACCGATATGAAGAAGATAATCTATTTTTCTACAATTTAGTTCTTTTAGGAAACCTTTCTTTCACAATGAAATAAAATTTCCAGCAGTCCAGTTCACTTGGGGCTACGAACAACGAGTTGCCGGGTCTCCGGTTCGAAGCAGACGTAGGAACGGGGTGGTTTCTAGTCAGTCTGATACTTTCTCCCGCCTTAACCAAGGCAGAAATACTCATTGGATGATTTACCCCCCTCAGCAAAGAAGGAGCCCAGTCTACATTATTTATAGAGACGGGGAGGACTTAACGGGTTGCCGAGGGTCCAGCTCGAAGAGCTGGAGTAGGAACGGGATGGTTTTTAGTCAGTAAGAGTCTGACACTCCCTCTCGCCTCACCCAGGACGGTAGAAGTCATTACATGATTTTTCCCCTTCAACAGAAAAGTGGACCAGTTTACAATGTTTCTTCTATTTCAGTGCATACGTACGTAATTCAATACAATAATAGACATACACACACGCAGATACATATTAATATAGTGTGGAAAATTAATAATTTTATGAAATAGGACATTATCTAGGTACGTATTAATTATTTTTTATCAATTACGTATCGCTATTAGGTTGATGATCCGATGTTGATAACAAATTGATAATTTTGTTGCCAAGCTGTCAATTATTATTAAGATAAAAATTATAAAATAATGTAGGTAAGTAATAATTAGAGGTCATTAGTCCAAATGAATAGACAATATAATTATTGTAGAGACCTTTTCGTTTTATGACGCCTCAATTGAATCTGAGAATGATTCATTTTTGAAAATGAAATAAAATTATTGAATTATAAAAAACAACAACAACATTTTACGTGTTACTTTAGTGCTAGATGTCGCACATGCTGATCAAGATTATGAGTCCCAGGCGTGACTTGAAACTAGTCGAGTCAAATCCTCGAAAAATCATGCACATAAGCCGTAAGTAAGTATAAGTAGGTACCCCAGTCAACTACAGTTTTGTTTTTCTAATCGCTTATCCCACTGCTTGGGATTCATAACATTAGGTTCATAACTATGTGAATATAGAATGTAGTTACATTATTTTATTTTGCTCAATTTTGCCAACTTGAGACGAGGAAAGTAAAAACTTCAAGTTGGCCGTCATCAAACTGCCGATCAATCACTTACGAGGGTAACCTGGATCTTGTATATACCAAGCCTTATTTCAACAATTTTAATACGCAGATTAGGTAAATTGTTTCCATCGACACGTCCGAAAACAGTATAAAAAGACGATTAATCATTTAATATGGACGACGCAATAGGATTAAGATAGTCATTATATTAGTTGCTATCATTTTATTCACCTGTCTTATCGAATACGATATTATTATTACTTATTGAGTAAGCAAATTTAAAAATAGGGTGAAAGTAATTTTAGCAGTAACAACATCAATAGTGTCTTCAATCAACTTGAATATGACACCTGGGCGTCGGAGATTGCGAGAACATATCCGGCCTCCGGCAAGGGCCTGCGGACGATGAGCACGGGTAGCTCACCGCCCGACCAGAACCAGACCCGAGCGTTCGGCACGTCGCGTGACACGCACGTCTCAAAGAGCCATCAGACCACCACCGATGGGGCCCAGTAGAGCTGATGCCGAAACGGAGCCGTGGAGGACTCAACGGGTTGCTGCAGCTCCGGCTCGAAGAGCAGGAGTACGAATGGGGTGGTTCTTAGTGAGTAAGAGTCTGGTACTCCCTCTCGACTAACCAGGGCGGGACAAGTTATTGGATGGTTTTCCCCTTAAGAAAGAAAATAAAATGCAACCGGGGAGCCCCCATCCCTAAATCCCTAATCCTCAAAAGGCCATCTACGCTCTTGTAACTCCTCTAGCATTGCGGGAGTCCATGAGCGGTACTGATTGCTTACCATGAGGAGAACCTCAACTCGTCTGCAGCTCTTTATTATAAAAATGCGATGCTAAACATTGTAGCGTTTACCTTACGTTGTTTATTAATAGTACAATTAATAATAAGCCGTAGGTAGAACGTGATTAAATGAAATTAATTGACCTGATACCTGATTAATAGATAATTATCTACAAATCATTACGTATTTTATTATTTATTTATTTTTTTATTAACGCTTCATGCACAAAGTGTACACAAGGTGGACTTAATGCCGCAGGCATTTTCTCCCAGTCTGACCTTTGGGTGATGCAGAGAAGAGTGAATGGTAGGAGCAAGAAGCAAGCAACGATTTAATTGAGAAAATAGAAGATTATACTAACATATTTCAAATATGAACATAAATAAATATATAATAATATATACCTACACACGAGTACACTGCAATATACATACATACATACATACATACATAGACTCATAGCATATAATATAAATATGAACATAATTACTAATACTCTGTAAATAATTATTGTGATGATTCAGCCAACCTCTTCAAGAGAAGCTCACGTACTTTCTGCTTAAATGTTAAACGTGTCGACACCATCCTGACATCCAGGGGGAGCGCATTCCACAGCAAAATTGCCTGCACGAAAAAAGAAGAATGAAAGAAGTCAGTGTGATGAGTGGGACATTGGAGAAGACGGTTATGGGAAGAACGAAGGTTTTTACTGTGGTTTGCGCACAAGTATTGAAAGTAAGGGGATAGATAACTGGGTAAAGAAGGTGAACAAAGAAAGGAGAATAGAGTGGTAAGCGCCCTTTGCTCCCTGCGCTGGCGTATGGGCAGCCACTTTAGTTGCAGCCGATGTGCAGAAACATGATCGTATTTACGCAGGTTGAAAACGAATCGAATGCAGTTATTTAGAAGTCGGTCGAGCTTATTGAGGAGATCTGCATTCAGGTCGTAGTAGCAGACATCAGCATAATCGATGATAGGGAAAACCAAGGCTTGCACCAACATGGCCTTCGTAGCGGGAGGAAGCAAATTTTTTACGCGATACAGAGCACGCAATGATCCTGTAACCCCTCTGCATACATTAGTGATTTGAGCATGCCACATTTGATATTATCTAGGTATTTCCCGCGGCTTCAGTTGTAGCTAAGAGAAACCAGGTAATAAATATGATGATAATAAAATTATAATTATAGTAAAGGAGATTTAACATATAATATCACATCTCACACGACTACATTATAACATAACATAACATAACATCACACGTTTTTATCTCCGAAGGGGTAGGCATAGGTGCACATTATGCCACTGTATAATGTAACACCCACTTTTCACTCTCATGTTACGAGTCCCATGTAATAGGGGGTGAGCCTATTGCCATATACCGGGCACAATAAATTGTGCTACTACTAAGATGTTTTTAAAAAACTCCAGTAATACTTTACCCGACCCGGGAATCGAACCCGAGACCCCTTGCCCGGCAGTCGCACTTGCGACCACTCGGCCAACGAGGCAGTCTACATTATAAAGAAGGGTTTAATTTCCAAATCAAATAAAATTACTATTGGTGTTACGATTTTGGATATTTCTAAAATTCCAATCTCGGAGTCAAGTACCTATAGCTATTTGAACTCAACCTCAAATAAATGGGACTTATAACGTAACTAGTGAAAGTAATATACAATTTATAAATTCTCACAGAATGAGTTTGTATTTAATATGAAATTTTAAGAAGTAGGCATTGTTCTTACTCGCCAATTTTTACAATTTAGGTTTGTATAACACATTGTTATTACAACCACTGTAACTTTGGATTAACACGAAATAAAACAAAAATCTAAATAAATTAATACTTATAATTTACACAACAGTAGAAAAAACAATCAGATAGCAAACACGCGTCGAGATTCTAAACAGGAATCCATTGATCTTTAACAATTGAATCAATGAACTTCGTCCAACGGATTTGAAACTCATGCACCAATTTATCCTTTTCACTATACGAACTATAGTATAGAGAATTCAAAGCCAACTGCTTCAACATTTTAAGATCTGCGTGCCGACTAGACACTCCCACAAAGGCAACATAAAAATCATGCGTCAAAATCTCAGCTTCCCAAGGACCTGGATCATCGCTCGATAGAACTACAGGCATATCTTGACTCAAAAACGTAGCTAACGGATGATTCCTTGCATCATCGACTAACTTCAAAACAATGTTTGATATGACGTTAACCTCTAGAGCTATCTTTCTCTTCTTGACCTCTTTCATTAACAAAGGATGCTTCACTAAAGCAAATGCATGTCCAATCCTCTTCGTGCCAAGAAGAACAGCATCGAATAAGTTCTCATCTGCACTTGTACCGTACCAATTCGTTTCTCCTGCATGACAATATAAATTCAGGCCAACATTCGCTAGTTCGGAATAAAATTCCTTTAAAGGCCTTCCCAAATCCTCTTGCCGACCAAATCAAAACCCGCAAGGAAATCAGGCATCAGCTCATGAATTTCTTTAGCTATTTTAATATAATTTTTCACAGTCGCTCTGTCCACTAATTTAAGAGGAGCATATATCAATTTTGCCCCGAAGAAATCTGGATAATCTTTCTTGAATTTTTCTGTCACTCGCTTATAACTTTTGGCTGTGTCTACAGAATCATAAACATTACCTGCCAAATCGTACAATGGTGGCAATACACTTCTAATTTCGAAATACATGATGTTGTCTTCTCTTAAAGCAAATAATGTATCGTAATAATACTTCTCCCACACCGGTTTGTAAGTAAATAGAGGCCCCGTACGGATAAAATACTTCGAAAAATATTCCCATACCGTATTGACATCGGTGTAAACTTCTTGGGGATTGTCAATCACAATAGTAAAGAATTTTCGAAGTTTGGCATCAAATTCTGTAACATTCGTAGTGCTTCTTATATCCTCCGCTCGTTCCCATTTGGTTTCACACCATCCAGAAGGGCGGTATTTTGAAAAAATAAAGCTTATATCGGATTGGTCTTCCTTGAAACATATCCACAAGTCGTCATAATAAGTCAATTCAAGTACGTAGTCTGGACCGAGCATAGCTGTGTCGTGTCCATGGAGTACTGCACCCTTAGGCATACTCTTCAATATTTTGTACAATTTGGTATCTTTCACCATCTCCTTATATTCAAAGAAATGCTTCGAAAGATGATAATGTTTAGGATTCCGAAAACCATAATCTATTACTTCACGCTTAAGGTCCATTATTATTTCATTAGCCATTAATTCACTGTCACTGAGTTCAATTGAATTACCCACCATCATTTTTAGTTCCTTTTTAATAAGAGTTTCTCTTTCTTGGAGCACATTTTCATGTATTTGAGACGTTACTATTAAAATATTTGTAAATAAGATTATTGTTAGTGGCCACATTTTGTCGGTTCGCGGTCCAATGCCGTACTATCTGAGATTGGTATGGAATAACTGATACCTGACTTGATAATGTTTATTTGTAACGATATGACGTAATATTCAATTTACTATGCCGATGTAAGGTATAGCTGGGCTATTCTTGTGCAAGCATATTCGTGCCTGTTGCGTTGGTGACAGTTGCGAAATTTGAGTTCAGTCAGCAAAATCTATTACAATAAATTGTACTGCTTACAATTACATTATATTATCAAGGTTTGTTACGTATTTAGAAAACACGTTTAAATACATGTATACATACTTACTAATACATAAAGCTGGAGAGTTTGCTTGTTTGTTTGAATTCATTTAAATTCGAAAGTAACTCGCGGTTCTGTCTCTTATTCACGCTTTAACCACTGAACCGTTTGAGATGACATTACGTACCGATATAGTTTAGGACTCAAGGAAGGACGTAGGATAGTATTTATTCCGTAAATCGTCCAAAAACTAGAATAACGGTGTAAATCTACCAAAATTTTAAATCTTCTAAGATAATGGACTAATTTTAATGAAATTATGTACAGAGATTCAGTGAAACCCCGGAAAAGACTGATAATATATTCTATCCTAAGAATCTCGCAAAAGCGTTGAACATAAAAAAAAACTATCTTATTAAGTATAATTTACACAGTTGCAGAAAAAATGCAAATACACGACGAAATTCTAAACTTGATTCTATTTCATTTTAAGAATTGAACCAATGAACTTCATCCAACGGATTTGAAACTTACGCACCAATTTTCGCTTTTTACTGTATGAACTATAGTATAGAGAATTTAAAGCCAACTGCTTCAACATTTTAAGATCTGCGTGCCGACTAGACACTCCCATAAAGGTAACATAAAAATCATGGGTCAATATCTCAGCTTCCCAAACACCTGGATCGTCGCTCGATAGTACTACAGGCATATCTTGACTCAAGTACGTAGCTAGCGGATGATTCCTTACATCATCGACTAACTTTAAAACAACATTTGATATCACGTTAACCTCTAGAGCTATCTTTCTCTTCTTAACCTCTTTCATTAACAAAGGATGCTTCACTAAAGCAAATGCATGTCCAATCCTCTTTGTGCCAAGAAGAACAGCATCAAATAAATTCTCATCTGTACTTGTACCATACCAATTCGTTTCTCCTGCATGAAAATACAAATTCAAGCCACTTTTTGCTAGTTCAGGATAAAATTCTTTTAAAGGCTTTCCCAAATCTTCTTGACTTACTAAATCAAAACCGGCAAGGAAATCAGGCATCAGCTTATGAATTTCTTTAGCTATTCGATATAGTTTTTTACAGTTTCTCTAGCCACTGATCTTACAGGTGCATAAATCAATTTGGCGCCGAAAAAATCTGGATAATCTTTCTTGAATTTTTCTGTAACTCGCTTGTAACTTTTGGCTGTGTCTACGGAGTTATAAATATTGCCTTCCAAGTCGTACAATGGTGGCAATACAGTTCTAATTTCAAAGTACATGACGTTGTCTTCTCTTAAAGCAAATAATGTATCGTAATAATACTTCTCCCACACTGGTTTATAAGTGAACAGAGGTCCCGTGCGGATAAAATACTTCATGAAATAGTCCCATACTGTATCCAAATCTGTGTAAACTTCTTGGGGATTGACGACCACAAGAGTAAAGAATTTTCTAAGTTTTGCATCGAATTCTGTAGCATTCGTAGTTCTTCTTATATCCATAGCTCGTTCCCATTTAGTTGCACACCATCCAGTAGGGCGGTGTTTCGCAAAGACGAAGTTTACATCGGATTGGTCTTCCTTAAAACATATCCATAAGTCATCACAATAAGTTAATTCAAGCACGTAGTCTGGACCGAGCATACCTGTGTCGTGTCCATGGAGCACTGCACCCTTGGGCATACTCTTCAGTATTTTGTACAATTTAGTATCTTTCACCAGCTCTTTATATTCAAAGAAATGTTTCAATAGATTATAATATTTGGGATTCCAGAAACTATAATCTATTTCTTTACGCTTAAGGTTCATTATTATTTCATTAGCTACTAATTCAGTGGCACTGAGTTCAATTGAATAACCGACCATCATTTTTAATTCCCTTTCTATAAGAGTTTCTCGTTCTTTGAGCATAAATTTATGTATCTGTGACAATGCTAGTAAAATATTTGTAAATAAGATTATTGTTAGTGGCCACATTTTGTCGGTTCGCGGTCCAATGCCGTATTATCTGAGATTGATATGGAATAACTGATACCTGCATTGATAATGTTATTTTGTAATATTCAGTTTACTACGCCAATGTAAGGTATAGCTGGGCTAGGCTTGTGCAAGCATGTTCGCACTTGTTGTGTTAGTGACAATTGCGAAATTTGAGAAAATTTTAAACGTTGAACCTTAATTTATTTTGTATGTAAAATCTTATGATAAATTTCGTAGGTACACCAAAGTTCCGTGTAAAAATATAAACAATATTATCCAAAATATCTTAATAAAATAAAAATTAAAAACATTACACTAATAAACTGCATGACTTTTGAAGGTGACTGAAAGGAATGGATTCTGTTTGACATAAAATCTCGTTGGCCTATTAATTACACTTTTCTAAGGTCTTATAAGGTTGCTTTTGCATTGTATTATCAACATTTACAAAATAGTTATTGCTCATAACATTACTTAATGACATTCCTAATCATAAAAACGGCAAGTCCTCTTCCTTTCTTTTACACAAACTATCCAACTTTTCCTTGGTTGTCCAATCCTCTTTAGTCCTTCGACAATCATGGTCAACTAAACCGTGGCCGAGCATCGATTATTCATAATTATGTCAGCTTCTGAACATAGGCTCAAACGCCATCCCACTACCACTAATGGGGCCCAGTAGGGCTGATGCCCGAACTGGAAACTTATTGGGTTACAGAGGTTCTGTCTCAAAGCAGGAATAGGAACGGGACGGTTTTTAGTCAGTAAGAGTCTAACACTTCTCCTCGCCTCAACAATGCGAGAAAAAAAACGTCTTCCCATAATGACTTCTAGATTATTCATTGAAAAGTGACCTACGTCCAGATAGCGGCTTCTTGCTATCTCTATCAGGTTGTCTGTCTACCTTGTGGAGGACGTTATGCGCTGCTTTTACATGTCCGGTACTCATCACACGGCTACACTTCGAGTTATGTCAACCAGTTTATCACGGCTAATCGTTCGGTTTAAACTTTTTTTTCATTCTATTATCATCATCATTGTCATTAACACCCCAAGACGTTCACTGCTAAACAAAGGCCTCTTCTTTAGTCCTCCTGCTGAACGGCAACTCGCCACCTTATATGATCTTGTAATAAAAAAACGTAAGTACTTACTGATGTGAGACAGTTCCACGTCCACGCGGACGCAGTTGCGGGCAAAAGCTAGTTGAATGAAATTTTATTTAAGGCGATTGAACATTAAAGAAGCAAACAATTGCTTATGGGCAGGTGTGATCTGTACCGTCTCGGTCAATATGATGTCGGGAATATTTGTATGGTGGCGGGTAGATAGTTATATTTATTTAATAAACTAGTTTACTGCTAACTCTCGCCTATTATTGACGCTGCATTGGCGACGAGGATTAAAATTTATCCGTTTTAAGTTGTGTCAGTATTAAGATGCCTATTGGAAAGTTAGAACCGTTTAACTTAAGTTCTAAACAGTGGCCGGCATATATACGGCGGGTTAATCAGTATATTTTACTGAACGACGTGAAAGACAACCTAAAAGTGCCGATGCTAATAACAATCGTGGGCGAATCTACGTATTCGCTGATGTGTGACCTGTGTTCTCCTGACTTTCCTGAAAATAAATCTTATGAAGATCTAGTGAAATTAGTGGCAGATCACTTGGAACCGCAGCGATCCGAGATCGCCGAGCGCCACGTGTTCCGGTTGCGACGACAACGTGCTGGCGAGCCCTTGGCTGAGTATTTACAGGCTCTCAAACATCTAGCAACGACTTGCAACTTTGGAAAATGTAAGAAATGTTCTAGCCTAGAAGAAAACCTGAGAGATCAGTTTGTTTCGGGCTTGGCAAATGACGCAATGCGTTCTAGAATCTTTGCCGAAAGGAAGATAGAATACAAGGAGGCGGTGGAGTTAGCACTAGCTCTGGAGGCCGCAGAAAAGCACGCGGAGGTGAGCGGCAGCACGGGCCTGCCGACTACGACCTTGGGTGCCGGCGGCGACGCGGGTGAAGACCTGCACTATACGCGCGGGGCGCGCGGGCGCGGACACGCTCGCGGGGCGCGCAGCGCGGGCGCAGCGGGTGCGCCGGAGCCGGCTGGCGCGGGGGGCCCGGCTCGGGGCGCGGTGGCGCAGGCATGCTGGCGGTGCGGTAAGGCGCATCGCGCGGACAAGTGCCGGTATGTAAACTATAATTGTGATTTGTGTAAACAAAGAGGTCATTTGCGAGTGATGTGTAAATTTGTGAAAAAATAGTGAAACTCAGCAAAACTATATCAGTGGTGAGGACGATTGTGGCGATATTTTTAATATTGTGGGTAGGCGTAAGGACAATAAACCGTATTTCATTAATGTAATCATAGATAACTTCGAAACTAAGTGCGAAATTGATACTGGTAGCCGCATTTCGGCTATTAATGAAGAAATGTATTCCCGCCAATTTGCTCACAAAACGATTAAGGCAGATAATTTGATATTACGTAGTTACGCCGGTTCACCAATTGTATCACTTGGTTATATTGAAGTTAAAGTTAGATTACAAAATGTGGAAGTGAATTCCTTGCCCCTGTATATAATTAAAAACGGAGCACGTCCTTTATTAGGAAGAGACTGGTTGCGCGCCTTAAAGTAAATCAAATTAATCTATATAAAATAAGCGATGATGAATTTGTGAACCGGTTATGCGCGGAATTTCCGGAAGTATTTACAGATAAGTTAGGGACGTGTAAACGAACCATTCAATTACAACTGACTAGCGAAGAACCTGTGTACGTCCGAGCGAGGCCCGTGCCTCTGGCGTTGCGCGCGCGCGTCGAGCACGAGCTGGCGCGACTGGAGGCCGACGGCTCCATATACCGCGTCGATTACTCGGACTACGGAACGCCTATAGTTCCGGTCGTAAAAAAAAATGGAGATATACGAATATGTGGGGATTATAAAATTACAATCAATCCTAAGCTCAAACGTGATTATTATCCTTTACCCCGCATTGAGGAGTTATTTGCGAACTTAAGCGGAGGGGAGAAATTTACCAAAATTGATCTCACTCACGCTTATGAACAGTGTCTCTTAACAAAAGAGTCACAAGCTTATAGACCTTGCGTGGACCTAGAAGCGACCTTGCGTGGTATACCTGGTTGTGTCGTGTTTTTAGATGACATATGTACCACCGGGACTAATGATAAAGAGCACATAAGTAATTTACGAGCGGTACTCGCAAGGTTACGTGACACAGGTTTAACAGTTAAGTTAAGTAAATGTAGTTTTTTACAAGAAAGTGTTAAATATTTAGGTTTTATCATTGATAAAAAAGGGTTACGGCCCGACCCTGCCAAACTGGATGCTATTTCCAGTGCACCCAGGCCAGAAAATATAACACAGCTAAAAAGTTTCTTAGGAATGTTGAACTATTATGGAAAGTTTATTAGTAATTTAAGCACGTTATTATATCCTTTACATAAATTGTTAAAAAAAGATATTCGCTGGCAGTGGGGTCACAGTTGTGAGTAGGCGTTTATAGAAGCTAAGCGTGCTCTCCTGGGCGAGCGAGTACTAGCACATTATGAAGAGGGGCGACCGCTTGTGCTTGCGGTCGACAGTAGTGCGTATGGGCTAGGCGCGGTGCTGGCACACCGCTATTCTGATGGCAGTGAGCGCCCAGTTAGCTGTGTGTCTCGCACTTTGAACGCGACCGAGCAAAATTATAGCCAGCTAGATAAGGAGGCGCTCGCAATATTGTTTGGTGTAATAAAGCATCATCAATACTTGTTTGGCAGAAAGTTTATATTACGCACGGACCATCAGCCGTTAACGCGGTAATAAGGGTGGCATACCGCAGACAGCGGCTAGTCGGCTACAGCGCTGGGCGGCACGCCTGGCCGCATACGACTTTACGATTGAATTCGTGCGCTCAGCCGACAATGGACATGGATGCATTATCTAGGCTGCCGTTGCCTCAGGAGGGTCGCTTGGTGGATGCAGTAAATTATATTAATTTGATAGAGGATTTTTTTCCTATTAGTTTTAAGGATGTAGCTCGAGAAACTGAAAAAGATTCATTGTTAAGTAAGATAAAGGGTTTTGTAAATTTTGGTTGGCCGTTGACGGTGAACGACACTGAGAAACCATATTTTGTAAGAAAACAGGATTTGTCTATAGAATTGGGCTGCCTCATCTATAGGTATAGGATTATTATTCCCACTTCATTACGAAAACAAGTTTTAAATGAAATCCACGAAGGTCATTTGGGTATGAATAAAATGAAGAACTTGTCGCGAAGTTATGTGTACTGGCCCAATTTAGATAAGGACATAGAGGACTTGTGTCGTGCGTGTACGGCGTGCTGCGTGGTACGCGACGCGCCGCCGCACGCGCCGCTGCACCCATGGGAGTTCCCGCATCATCCCTGGCAGCGCGTACACGCGGACTTTGCGGACTGTGGGGGAACACGATATTTAATCATGGTTGACGCGAACTCTAAATGGATCGAAGCCATTGCTATGCGAAAGACGGACGCGCAAGCGACTATCGCAGTAATGAGAAGTATTTTTTCTCGGTTCGGGTTACCGTCACTACTCGTCACCGACAACGGTCCTCCATTTTTCTCGCAGGAATTCAAAATGTTTTGCCAAAAAAACTGTATAAAGCACGTGACCTCAGCTCCTTACAGACCGCAGGGAAATGGAGCTGCGGAAAATGCGGTAAAAACCGTTAAGAAGGCGATCAAACGCGCTAAGTACGGGGGGAGGACGTTGCCACAGCCCTAAATAAATTTTTATTTCAATACCGAAACTGTCAACACTCAACCACGGGTGTTTCTCCTGCAGTAGCGTTGCAAGGACGTAGGCTCCGTGGCCGCCTCGACGCACTTCGGCCTGACGTGTCGACTGTTGTGCGCGCCGCTCAAGAGCGACAGGTAGCCGCGGCGGGCGGAACGCCGCGTACCCTGGCGCCTGCTGACGCAGTGCTGGCGCGCGACTACACCGCGAG